GATGGATATGTTCACCCATGTGGCATTGGCATGGGAGCAGTTTTCAAAGGAAGCACGTTCCACACTGCGATGGTATCTCCATCAGTTTTTGTGAGACAAGTCCTCATGGATGAGAACAGCAGGCCGGGATCCAACAAAAAGCCTCCACAAACAATAGAGTCTAGTCAGGCAGACACACTTCCACTACCTGGTCATGCAATGCCTCCCAGTCTTGGAGCATGGTGCACAAGGTGTTGCCAACCTCCCCCATTGTTGGTTTTCTCTCGGATCGAGAGCACAGCACTGCCCTATGAGCTCCAGCATTTGGGGGGGCAATCTTGTGCCTCAACTGTACATGGCTCTTCCTCCCTGAGCTTTTTTGCCACGCTGGCATGGTCACCAGCTGTGACTTCGCCAAATGTCTGCTTCTAGCTTACGATTTCATAGCAGACCATAACAAAGCTGTACACATACGATATCTGGCTGCCTGATTTGTTTCCCAACAGCTCAGAGGCCATACACTGCAATGTCCCATCCACGTGCAACGCAGTCGCGTCTCTTGTCTGTGATTCTTCAAAGTGCAGTCCAACATCACTGACATTGACTTTCGCAACATAGTTTTCAGGATGACTGCCAAAGACCAGGAAATTCCATGGCTTGATGTCTCAATGCACAAGGCCCTGAGAGCGCATGTGTGCCAGGCCTGCAGCTCCTTGTTGAAGCAGTTTGGCCAATATTTCTTTCCCATGACAAAACGTGTACAGGTCAGAATCCGCCTGCTCCATGACTATCCACCCCGAGGAGATAGCCGCAAAGGGTATGGCAATGTTTGGACTTTGGTCGAAATTGGCAATGGCCTGCCTTGTTTCCTTCAAGAAGTTGGCTAAATCTGGAATGGATAGGTTGGCGCTGTCTCTTGGTGGCTTCTTGACAGCCATTGGAACACCAACCTACTCTGTCTCGAACACCTCTCCCTTAAAAACCTTTGCCCAACCTTGGTCCCATTTGAATCGCATGCTCGTCGATGATTGCCAGCTTTTTCATGTTTTTCTTGTGTTGTGCCTTGACGGCCTCCCATTCTGATGCAGAATCGCACTGCGCATCTGTCAGTATGAACTTCAGAAAAGCCTCCAAGAATTCCTTGTCTTTCTCTAAGGGATCGCTGGGTACGGTGTCAATGTGCACCACACCTCCCATCCCCCAATCCTCAATGATGTTTTGGACTGTGGAGAACCCTCCCACTTGAGAGTGGACTTCCTCGGAAGTATAGAAGGAAAGCATGTCGAAATTGGCTGCATGCTTGGCCAAGAGCCTCTCAGCATTTCCAATTTGCAACTGATAGCTGGCCAATTACATAGCTGCTGCAGTGGTAGGAGTCTGCAATCCTCGCAGTTCTCGAGCTGCACTTCCAGAAACTCCACGCTCTGCTGGTTGTACAGCGCCGCCTGTATCCCTAGTCACCCCTGTGTTTTGAAGCAACATCTTTACTCAGCTCTAAAGCGATGCCAAGTCGAACTGCATAAGCAGTCGATCCATAGGACCAGTGGGGACAACACAAACGTCCAGTTCATGAACTGATCAGGAACCAAATGCCCAGTGCAATTTGTTGCGTGACTGCTGCCCATGGCTGTACTTGTGAGCTCCAAGGGCCAGGGAATTGCCTTCTGTCGTTCCAGGCTTCTTGATGGCAGGACAAAACAGGTGTTCGATTTGGGGAAGCTGCCTAATGGCACATCAGCTACCATTCGTCCCTTATCACAGAACCAAAATCAGGAGAGGGACCATACTGGACAACAGGCGTGCGGGAATGCCCCACCCCGGCAGTCGCCATTAGTAGCCAACGTTGCTCCGCTGGCATCTCAGCGTGTATTTGGGCCGTACTTTAAACGGTATCGGCATTGTCCCCACGCTAACTTGAAGGGGAGCCTCAAACCCACCGCCTATTTGTGTCACCCGCTTTCCCTCGCCATCCCCTGCGGCTTTGGAGGTCATGCTATTGGCAGCAAACCGCGATGGCTTCCTGGCCGACACCCACCAGCAAAGTACCAACCCTGTGAAGCCACCGGGGTTCGCACTCGATGGCTGACCAGTTGGCGCCAATGTCCCAGTGTGCTTTTTTGTAAGCTAGCTGCTTCACAGTTGTTCTCCCACTCTGATCGGTGAGGAAGGGGGCAGTTTCGGTGTCGAGAAGTTGCTGGCCAGTAGCAAATACTTGAGGGGCCTTTCATGGTGATGCTGGTGTCCTGTCAATGACACTAGTGTCAATTTCCATGGTATGGATTTTCCAGTGAATCGTTCCTTGGCCGCCACCCCAGACCCCGTATTTGCAGAGTGCCAGTGATAAACAGATTGATTGTTGCAGAACAGGGGCGTGCATCAGCATAGTGGGCTGTTTGCTGCCACCAAGCTGATTTTAAAGTCAATTTTTGGTGATTTCATTGATTCGTGTTTTGCCATTGGGCAGTACGTCATGCGCCTAATAAGACAGTTCTATTGGTAACTATAAAAGACGGCGGCCCATTCCGGCCGTCATCCCCAGAGATAGCGCTGTCAAATCACCACTGAGTCACGTCAACAGCCTCAGCACCGCGTCAGTTGAGGGTGCACTCAACGAACAAGCTTCGCCCCTCATGCGAACTGGCTCTTCATGATGAACTGCTTGTCGCGACGATGCCAACCACCAAAAATAGCACCGACGGCAAGGGGAACTGTAGACAAGCGGCACATATCGAATTGACCGTCAAGCAGACAAGCGCGCCTGTAGAACCTCTCACAACTGCCCCCCAGAGCGCCGCAATTGGTCGCAGCCACTCCCCAAAAGTCAGCGAGGTCAGCGCACAAGTCAGCCCCACTGGTCGGGGCAGCCTTGTCCACAGCGTACGGATACAATGCACAAAGATGCTTCTTACTGCCTCTGCAAAGCTACACAACGATGAAGGCTGGTCAATTTTGCCCAACAACATGACCGCACTGGCTGTGCTAGAATTGAAAGGCAAAGGGAAGCAGCTCAAACGACACAGATTGGATGCGAACTCGACTTGAAAAGGTTGAGCGCTATTGCGATCAGGCCGTGGCGAACGTTGCGCACACAGCCAGGGGAGTCAAGCAGCCATGTTGAGAGCCTAGACAACCGCGAGAGGCACACGCAAACGCCGCGCAACCGTTCTTACAGCTGCCAGGCCGAGAGCAACAATACAGAGTCCCCCACAGCTTTGACCATGCCCCCAGTACTTGTAACCCCACCAACCTCTGGCAAATACCCCCCATTCCTCAGAGATGCTCTTTTGATACCCAGAAACTTTCTGCCACGCACGCCGTTTCACCGCAACTCAACCCCACACGCCCCACTGCCGGCAATCAACCACCACGTGATGCCCCAAGGGCCATATTCCCATCAAACAATCACACTTCCCACGGCCAACAACCACGTCATGCCCCATGGGGCATATTCCCATCAAACAACCATGTGGCGACTCCACGCGCCCCTCCTGGCTCTGTCTCACCACCGACGTCCATAGCAGACCGCCAGGCAGGCAACCCCTAAGCAATTGCACTTGAGCAATGGTAACCTGGGCGCTCCGCAGTACTCCCAAGGTGTTTTCCGGCGTGTCTTACTCATGTGTCTCCATGTGATGCGCTGCCACGTATTGGCATTGTGCTCAGCATCTTTATAGTATCTTGTTGAGCTCTTTGGGTATATGATGAAGTTGCCATAGTTTTCTTTGTCATCGAAATCATCTCCCTGCTTTCTGAGTGCCTTGAGCATGCAATACTAGAAAAATATGTAGCACGCCTAACTGATGACTGGGGGTTTCCCATCTCATTCGGCGCCAACCTGCCTGATGATGATCAGTGTGGCGAAGGTGCTGAGGCTGCCGCATCCCCTCTCTACCATATCTGGACCTCACGGATCGCCAGCTAAGCGATATCATTAAGATACTAATTTTTCGATGAGCCCCATTAATTGGCGACTCGAACATAACCTCATGTGCGACTATACTATTGTTAATACTGGCGCAACGCGATGGCCAACGTGTCAAAGAGCTGAGGTGTACATCCAATGGCGTCCCCTTCCCTCCCAGAACATGGGAAATTCTATCCACCACTCCTAACAGTGCTTTGATGCTCTCCATATGCACAGCCGAATGGCGCCCATACGTCAATGGCGACCTTTGCCTGGCCTCTGCACCGTTTACGCGACGACACGATTGCATATCGTATGCGGTATTGCAATCGCATTCGCACATCCAACACGAGTGCCACTGTACGTACGGTCGGCGAGAGAGGAAATGTTGGGGTTCACACATATCCATTTGATTTTACGGTGGGGCTTTGGGCCAGAAACAACAGCTGCTGTGGATGATGGAAGAACGACGACCTCGGGACCGTTCTCAGCTTCGCTACCACACAGCAATTGCGCAAATGGCAATGTGATTTAGCACTTGATCAACCATCGACGATTCTTGACGTCCGAAAATCCCCAAAAGCCATCATGCGCATCCCGCGTCCAAAACCAATATTAGTCACCTTTCCTGGTAAGTCAAGATTCATTCTACCTGAAAGACGAACGTAGTGTACTGGCAGCGCACCTGTCTATATGAATGCTAGCCGCACCCAGCCCCCACATATCTTCATGCACCATCTTGCGCCACTCTTCCCCAAACCCGATCTGACACAATGCCCATGTGTCACTGCTGGCGATCACATCATTTCCGCCCTCACGCCAGATATTGACACTATCACATCACTCGCATCTGAGGTTTCCTCCATCACAAGGTGGCGAACCACGTGGTTCGCCCGATGTGCACATCGGGCGCCATGAAGCGAACAGCAACGATTTGTAGAATCACTCCAACACCCTGTCTGACTGGCTGACAACCACCATGCCACGTTGGCAGGCACCAACACTTGACAGACTCAGAAAAACACATTTGTTATCCTCCACAGTCTGGGAAGGCACAATCTCTTTCGTATCTCGTACTCCGATGCACAATGGCGTCGCTGCTGCAGATCGGCTGCTGTCAATCATTTTCGCCTAGATGTCTTCCCTGCAAAGCAGCAAGCTGGTCGCTGATCGACCTATTCGCAGGCACCAATCACAAAAGAGAGTTACAGCAACAAGACACTCGATTGAGACGTGCATGGTTGACAAATAGGGAACAAACACTGCCCATGAGTAATCCTGTCGTCAAAACAATGCCATCAGCCATGCTACTTGCGCACGTTGTGGAGAAACTCGTGCTTTTCACCGGGATGGAGCACGTTGTGAATATCCTTTGTTGAAATTACTGAATCAATGAAAAAGGTACGTCTTCCAGCTAGCTTCCAACAAATACCATATTAATACAGGACATAGAAACCGAAAGTGATGCAATAGCATTCACCTGGCCTTCTACAGGGCTGCATTCCTCGAGTATGTCCTTGAAGCGGTTGTCGACCTCTGTCATGGTTGGCCTTTCCTTTGGGTCAACGGCGCAGCACTTCTCGATGATCTTCCATGCTTCTGCAGGACAATCTTCTGGCACCTGGATGTGGCATGGTGGTTCCCCACGGCTCTTCTTTCTCATGATAGAATGCTCGTTAGCCCGCCATCCACCGTAGGGGTATTTTTGGCTGACAACTTCACAACACAATACCCCGAAGCTAAACACGTCAGACATCTGTGTGATGGGCTGGTCGAAGTAGGCTTCAGGTGCCATCCACCGTGGCGTCCCTTGACCTATCCTCACTGTCATGGCCCTTGACTGTGCCTCCTCAAAAGCGACTCCAAAATCACTGACTTTCAAGCAGTAATCATCAGTGCACATGCCACAAAGGAGGAAATTTTGAGGCTTAACGTCTCCATGCACACGATTCTTGGAGTGGATGTGCTTTAAAGCACTGGATCCCATTTGGAGCAGCCTGGCCTTCAGATCCCACGGCAATTTCTCTCTAACGTGGCACCACTTATCAAGGTCAGTCTCTGCCAGTTCCATCACAATGGAGCCTGAAGTGGTGATCGCAAGGAGCTGAATGATGTGTTTGTGATCGTTCAGGGCTGCGTGCACCAGGGCCTCCCTCAGGAACTCAGCATATTTTCCCATGGGCAGCTCATCCTGCTCACCACTGATGCACTTCTTCACAGCCACTTCTCTGGAGCTCCTTGTCTGGTGCCAAATCGCCTTGTAAACTGCACCATGGCCACCTGTGCCCAGCCTTTCCTGAATCTTGAGGTCGCCTTCATCGATGATCTCCAACATTTTCATGTTCTGTGCATGGTGATCCTTGCAGGCACTCCAATGCTGCAGAATGCTATCTTGGATGGCACACTGCACATCTTTCAACAAGTAGCTGAGTAAATTTTCCAGAAACTGCTCATCTTGCTCAACAGTGCCTAGGGATATGCTAACCTGGATCCGTGCTGCGCTTGGCAGTCCCCATTCCTCAAGGGCCTCTCTCAGGCATTCACAGATTTTTTCCACAGCAGCGCAGGCATCCTCAGTCCTGTAAAAGTCCTTGACATCAAAGAGAGCAGAGTGTTTGGCAATGAGCCTCTCCCCCCTTCCCAGCTGCAGGTTAAAGTTGACCAGTGCTTCTTCCTTCACTGTGGGGGGAACTACCAACTTCCGCACTTGCTGTAGCTGCAAATCAAGGAAGTTGATTATGCCATGATTGTATTGTACTTCCTGGTGGTGTGTCTGCCCCTGCTTGGCAAAAGCATTCCAAATGCACATTCAGACCTCTAAGAATGGTGGCTGTACAGATGCCAGTACCAACGTGTGAGACCGGTCATCGAATGCAGTGCTCTCTGTGAAAGCTACCTCCCTCTTTTGTCAGGTGCTGGACTGCCATTTATGGGGTGCAGTGCAAACTGTGGATTCGATGGATAGGTGCATGTCCCGATGCAGCACGACCACAGGCATGGCATGGCCAGCATATGTGAGGGAGCTGTCCACACAAGAAGCACTGCATGGGAGCATTTTCCAAACGAGACCCTGTCCAAACCATTTGACATCTCCAGCAGTTTGCAGCAACGAGTCCTCCTAAATGACAACAGTAGGCAGTGATCCAAGAGTTAGCATTGATGATATAATGTAATGCATGGTTCCACTACCTGGTGATCCAATGCCTCCCAGTCCTCCAGCAGGTTGAGCAAGATGTCACAAACCAGCTGCATTGTTGGTCTCTCCGCTGGGTCAAGGGCACAGCACTGCCTCATTAGCTGCAGCATTTGTGGAGGGCAATCCTGCGGATCCACAGCGCATGGCTCTCTGCCTCTGAGTTTCCTTGCCATGATGGCGCCCTCGGTGCTTGCCTCGCCACCAAAGGGCATGGTCTGGCTTATGAACGCATAGCAAACAACCCCAAAGCTGTAGACATCCGATTTCTGGCTCAGAGGCTTGTCGTCATACAGCTCAGGGGCCATCCACAAGGGTGTCCAAAACCTTTTCCTGGTTCTTGCCCGTTCCATTTTAGATGCGAACCACAAGAATGGTCTAACCTTCAAATGACAGGTTTCAGGATTGGTGCCATACAGCAGGAGTTCCTGTGGCCTCACATCACCATGAGCCAACCCGTGAGCGTGGATGTATGCCAAGCCTTCACCCCCCTGTAGGAGTAGTCTGGCCTTCGATCTCCAGGCCAGCCTGGTTTTGCTGTGGCAGAGCTCATGCAGGTTGGCATCTGCAAGTTCCACTACCATTGAACCTGACGTAGTTACTGCCAGGGGTCGAACCAAGCAGGGGTTGGGGAAAAGAGTGGCATACCTAAGGGCCTGCTTGAACAACTCGGCGAATTCTACAATGGGCAGGTCGCCTTTGACCCTTGTTATTTTCTTCACGGCCACTGGAGTTCCATCCAACACAGCCTCAAAAACCATTCCCTGGTCTCCACCCAATATTTTCTCATTTTGTAATGCATTGTCTTTGATAATCTGCAGGTATTTCAGGGTATCCTTGTGTCGTGCCTTGATGGCCTCCCACTGGTGCAGCAACTCTGGCTTAACGTCGCCATGCACATCTCTCAGTGCAAAGTTCAGAAGGCTGTTCAGGTATTTCTCGTCCTCCCTAAAATCATCTCTGGGGACTGTGCACTCAATGCCCACTGCACTCCCCATCCCCCACACATCAATGATATGCTGCAGGCATCCGCAGATGTCTTCCACCAATGAGCGTGCCTCAGGGGTTGTGCAGAAGTCGTTTATATCAAAATGATCTGCGTGCTTGGTCAAGAGCCTCTCTCCCTTACCATGCTGCAACTCAAAGTTAGCCAACTCCCTGGCTGTTGCAGAGGGAGGCTTCTCCAATCCTTCCAGCTTCTTGAGTTGTGCATCCAGAAACTCCATGATCCGCTGGTTGTACAGTGCTGCCTGGCCCCCTAGCCGCCCCTGTTTTGTTGATGCAACATCCACAGTCAGCCCTCAAGAAGGTGCCCAATTATGCTGCATATGCACAGGACTAGTGAAGACAACCTTGATGTCCAGTTCAAGAGCCCAGGATATTTCATGTTATGCCTGCGCCCAGGGCTGCGCTTGCTCATTCCAGGGATAAGAGACTGCCTCCTGTCGACCCACACTGCTCACTGGTGTGAAAGCATTGGCCTGGTGTTCGATTTGCAGATCTCAGTAATGGTGCATCATCTCTACAGTCTATCAAGGAGCACAGAATCGGAAACGAAATTCCGGAAGTGGGACCATACTGGACAACAGGCGCCCAGGGATGTCCCAGCCCAGCAGTCAAGGGGCAATGAGCCATCGCGACATTCCTGGGCCCAGCGCCTGAGAAAACGGAAACGATTGCGTGCTGATTGTGATCAGTGAGGGCAAGACACAACTGGAAGCGTCGCTAGGATGGACTACAAACTGGGACTGGAGCTCCTGCGCCCGACAGGCTCCAGCGAGCCAGGAGATGGTTGGCCATCGGACAGACGGACCGCTCCCAACGGCCATGGACAAAAAGGAACACAAAGACATTTGCTGATCTAGCTACAGAGAAATGGGAGCGAGTACCGATGGCGGTATCGTAACTTCCTCGGTACACAGAAGAGGAAAAGTCAAAAAGCGCAGCTGCGAAGCAGGTCCCGTTCCGGTGTCCAGATATCGCGCAGCCGGCACAGCAAAGCCGCCACGCCTATGACGCCCCGTGCCTCTGGTCTGTTCGCCATTTGGAGGGAGTATCCATTCGATGCGGTAATTGTTCCCAGGAAACACAACTGCGTGAAACCTCCTTTGCGACTGGGCGCGAGCCCTGGAGGCGCGGCACAGGGGGCAACCCACACGCCACACATCACGCGGCAGGGATCGCGTAGTCGCCCAGTCCATCTGGCAGCATCTCGGGTCCCAAGTCCAAGCAGGCACAATGTTCACCGATCCACGGGTTGGGCAGGCGCCCCGGCAGCACTGCGGAACAAACGCACACGATCTACGACACGTCGGACCAGCTCTCCACCAGCTTCATCGGCCAGTTCCCCGATCGATCAAACACTCCCCTTCCCATAAATTGCGACGGCATCGGCACGGAGAGCGAACCATGCGCGGCCAACAACGGGCGCCATTCGAAGACACCGACACAAACACGGCTAATGGAAGGTTTGCCCCGGCCACCCCAGCTACGGCCCACCTGTTTTCGCGACTGGCCCTCCATTCCGAATTGTCGGCCACCGTCCCGAACCAGGACCTGCGGCTGCGCGTGCGTGCCGGTCTCGGGGTGTCAGAGCTTACAAGCGGCCTGCGATGCCGCCAGCCGCCGCCGTGGTGCCCGCCAGGGCCGTTGCCTCCTCACCGTGTGATGGGGCCTGTGAGGCCAACCTGACTAAGCTGGTCCAGTCCATATGTTTTCGGCGGAGGCTAGCTGAAGCCTTGGTGCCTTGGTAATGCATTATCTGCAGACTCGCATTGGAATTATCTCATGACGATTATGCGGCGTGTTGCGCCAGGGCGATGTGCTTGGCAGCACGACAGCGACAGGTGCGCAGGCGGGCAAGGACGCGATGTGACTGTCCACAGTATTTGACCCACGGCTCCTTTCCGGGGGAGTTGTTGGGCAGCCGTCCAAGATGTCGCCCGAGGCCTGGGCACACATGGCAAATGTACAGTGGGGTGGCCTCTTTGAGGCCGCCCCCATGACAACCCCATTTCACCAGCCTTATTGGCCTTATTGAGGTCCGCAGCCCATTGAAGGCTGTAGAGGCCATTTACGGCGCATGTAACATCATATAGTGCATATATTGATTGTTTTTAAGGGTATTCTGATATCAAACTATTGTTAGTACTTTATGCGTTGCCCAATAAGAAGCGTAGTACTTTACTTGGTAGCATTGATTGTCAATAGACAATCGCTTAATCGAAGGAGGGTGGTTTTGAACTGGGTGACCAGTGCTATGGGGTTGTGAACGCCCCTGCGCCCGCATTAACACAGCGCTAAAGGCCCCCAAGTGCCTGGTGTACGAGGTACCCGAGGGTCCCTGGGCTGTGAACACCCCACACGGCACAAAGTCCTGCCGCCCAGGGGCAGAAACGGCCCGGCAACCTTCGGCATTCACATCCCGACATTCTGATTGTCGTGGACGCGGGAGCCAACCTTGCAACATGGCTGTGGAAGCCTTTGCAGAGGGGAAGCGGTGCGGTTAAGTTGAGAATTAACTCGCTCGTTCGCAGATCTAGAGCGAAGGTGGCGTTTTCATGAGGCCCGGCCCACATTACCCGCATTGCTTCATGCTGCTGAGCCTCAAACCCGTGTAAATGGCGGGAGGGGCTCCACCAGCGTTTTCCTTACTAGGACGGTAGCTCTCTTGAGTTTGTGAAGCTTCTGTTCTATCATCAACCTCCTGCCTTTATTGTCCCCTTGAGCGGCCACTCGTTCCACTGGTAGTCGCTTGAATTTGTCTTTGTTTAAGCCAGAGCCATCGGCATTGTCCTTGCCTTAGTTGTTTGGCAATCTCCGAATAACTATCAAACAAGATTTGACCTTGGTCAGCGTCCATAGCATAGAACGGTGGCAGCAACTCGCCCATACCCTGCCCCTTGTTGAAAATGGATCGAGGTGGCGCAACAACCCGATTGCAGCAAAGGCTACACACATGATCCATTTTTGAATCGCCATCGGGATCGAATTCTCCATAGATCCCGTGGAGGTACCCATCACACCCAGAGCACTTGTGTATAGTATAGCGAGGCAGTTGGGGCGTGTCGTGGGGTGGTCTACCCTTCTTGCCTTCGAGACCCCCCGCATGCTCAAACTGCCTGTGGCCACGCCTTTCTAGTACTTGAGGTCGTGCCACGAGATATGGCCGATTTTGACCGGCCTTATTGACAATTTGGCCTTGATAAGGGCGGCCTTAAAAAGGCCGCCTCATTGCATACATATGCATCGGGCAACTCGCCCGCACCCCCCGCCGCCCTGACGGTACTGCTTAAAGGGCCTTTGTGACAATATGTGCAACTGTTGCGGGTGAATTAATCAGTGGGATTGGGGAGTCATGTAGGGAAGAGGGGGAGCATTATGAATATCGGGTTGAACGAACACTTTCGCACTCGCACACGGTCGCTCCCAGGCACAGGAAGCAAGGCCGTAACCAGATGCATTACAGAATGAGCGTATCGGTCTAAATACCAGTCACTGCAATAATATTCGATACCCAACTCCATTGTCTCCATGTACATTCGCCATAACACCATGCTCACGCATTCACTTCCAACCATAAAACACCATAGATCACATATAATATTTTTAATCGCTCCCTCGCCCTCACAATGAACATGGGGGGCTGCCACCTATGCAGGTAGTTCTCGAACCAACGAATGAGGTTCTGGATTCTGGCATGTATTAAATGAGTTCTATCTTGTAAGGAACGCCTGCTCTCGCCGTGTTTGGTAAGGGTGAGGGAGATTCAGGGTGCAGACTCTCCACTCCCGTTTGCGTGCTGCAAGGAACCCATCGACAGATTAAACATTAACACAACCAATGCAACACATCAACATTCCGTTTGATGCAACGCACTGTATAGTGGCCAGCCACCGCCCTTTGCAAACAATTGTCTGCAAACTGCGCCTGGGCCTCCGCCACACTAGGAAGAGAATGGCACGCAGTGGGCCGTCCATAGGCTAACACGGCTGCACATGAAAGTCAACGGGGTGTGGGCTGCCCTGGAAAGTGCGCCTGTAAAATCAACAGTGGCTGGTGAGATCTATATTCTAGCGCAGCGAGACAGGATTGACAGCGCACTAGACAAACATAGTTGGCGCGCTTGTAACCTGTTAGGCATGGGTGGCGTGCTTTGTGCGTCCCCGCAGCATTTTGCCGGGTTCCTACTGGGATTCGAAGGGCTGGGACGCTGGCCATTCAATTCACAGCTGGATCACCATTGTGGACGGTGGCCCTAGGGCCACTTATAAGTCTACTGCGCCCGGCAGCGCATGCATGCGCGTTCGTTTTACGCAGTGCGAGAATCCCAGCTATTGCATTTTGGCAGGGACCTGTAGGGTTGTGAGGGATGGGTTCGCATGCCATTCGATTCATGGTTGGATCGCCATTGTGGGCATCGATCTGCTGCCCCTGTTGGTGGGCGTGCAGGTGGTTCACACAGCATGTCATGCAAAGAGACAAGGGCACGGGCCACTGCGTCCAGGCTTCAACCGTTGCGGCCAAGGTGGGGGTGCAGCCGGCAGGTAATCAGCGCTCTGAGTCATTTGCCTATTTTGCGGAGGCGGGGGGCAAATAGAAACCGGGTATGGGACCGGACACCGATAATGGGATGTCCCATTGCTCTCCCAAACCAGTGGGCCAGGGGTAAGGAAGGGGGTAGGCCAACCCCTTGAGTACCCCTCGCCCAACAGACGAGGAGGTGATGTCAACCAACAGTGCCCGTTTCCAAGCCTCCCGACGGGGTAGTCTAGGGCAGCTCGCCCCATTGACTAGTATACTAGCGCTTCACTGCAAATCCGATATCATTTCCCCCTCTACACTGGCTGGCCGCCAACATCGTTCGCCTGGTCCCATCCCCCTTCCCCAGCAAAATAATGCTACAGCTTGCACTAAATCGGTGATTGCTTGCACCAAATCGGTGACTTCTTGCATCGAATCCCTCCAAAACTAACTTAGCCTAAGTTCTAAAGCTTACAAACTAAGCCTAAACCTACCCTAACCCTAAAACTCACCCTAAACGTAAGCCTAGAATTGAGGTTGGGACATAGTGTGCACTTGATTTGGTGCAAGCAGTCACCGATTTGGTGCAGGCATACTACTTCCCAAACTCCCTGCTACATCATCTGCCCGTTCCCACCACCACCACCCCATTTGTGGGGATGAGGCGTTGGGTCGGTACAGAAAAGTGATTGAGGCAAGTCACGAGCGAATGAGATGGGGGCATAGTTAGTGGGGCAATCGGAGGGAGCTGCAGTAGAGGCGGTAGAGGAATAAGGTAGATGGGTAGTGGTTAGGGACCCTAGGAACTTCAGCGTGCGGATGGGTCCAAGGCGTTGGCATAGAGGCTTGCGGAGGGGGACTTGAGAGGAAGCGGCCTTCGTTGTGGGATCAGAATAGGAAGGGGAAGTCATGGGGCCTAATTCGGGGATGGCCAAACCAGAACAGCTGGGATGGCCGCAGGAATGTTCTATTTAGGTTGCGGCCTTCGAACAGGTTGGCCAGCCAGATTTCACGCGAAATGTGCGAGGTGATCTGTATGAACAAAACGACACTTCGTGTGATGAACAATGGGTTTCATGCCGGAGGGCAACCGACTGTGTGACTGCGCCACCGGGCACCCTCCGAGGGGCCGGTCCGCTGTGCTGCGATTCATTCGCACCCACATAACACATCCCCCCCCCCCCCAATCCTCTGCCATAAACACTGAAATGCCATCACTGCTCGAGGTTGGGTCAGCCCTGTGGGTTTGCGCGGCCACTGCGCACCGGCGACAACTTCCCTCTGCCAGCGCGACACGAACGGACGCCACAGCGCCGACTATCGAACTGCCGTCGGGACCGCAGGCGCCCCACCCGGCTGTGTCGGCGCCAGGCCCCCTTGGGCGTCCGTTGGGGAATCGCTGTGTCACAGGAGGCCGCCAGGCATGGCCGCCCCCGGCGAGGGGGACGATGGCGATAAGGCGAGTGGATGCGCGGGTCGCTGCCTCGTCCGCACGGCGTGTTGTCCTCCCGTGGCGTCAATCGCGAGCCCGGCCAGGCGCTTGGTGCTGTGCAGCGCTGGGCTTCTTGGCCCTTGTGGTGGTTGCGGGTATTGGCTTGCACTGAATGCACTGTTTGGTATTTTTGACCACGCCGCCGTATTATCAGATCTTTGTGTCTGGGATCAGGGTGCGCCAACTGTTGAGCCGATATGGTGCTGTAGTGATATTGCGTCAGGGCGCACCGACTGGTGAAACGCAATGATGGTGTACCGATCTCCACAGGCCACAGCCGTGCACTATTAGGCTGTCACTGTTGTTAGGGTGCTGAGCGTTTTCAACAATGTGCAAGCAGTGTTAAGCGGGACTAGTTGACACTATCAGAAAACACCATGTTTGCGATACCAACTGCGATGCCATTTTGACACAAAGAGGCGCCATCACAGTCGTTGCGATGGCACAAAAATGGGTGTGATGCCATCAAATGGTGTCAAATGGCATCGCAGTTTGCATCGCAGCAGTATCGTTTTCCACTGGTGTGAGTTCACAACATTGGCATGCACCTAATGGATCTCTTGGTGTGTTTTTGCTTAAGCGCTCATCTCATCAGCGCCTTTGGTCTGGGGCCAGGGAACACCAACTGGTGCAAAGACCTGTGGGGTGGGGAAAGCGAAGGGCTGGGCAAGTGACTGGATGGAGCCACATGCTTCCCTTTGGCCTAGCAGCCCTTTGCGCTGTCCTGAAAGGGCTCGAGACTCCACAACGGTCAGGGGCTTGCTCCTGTGGAGATTGTGAGCTCATTCAGTCATGTTTAGAAGAGTCTATTCACAAAACATGGAAACGTTGAGCACGTTACCAATACAGGCAGCTTGGTGATATGCAACTTTGACCAGTTCAGCATTGTTAAAACATGAACAGAAATTGTGCATAGTCAATAGCTTTGGCATGTTCACTCCTTGCACACACAGCATCTGATGCATTGAATATGTGATAAGCACAACAACAATGCATTGACAGTTGGTTGTGTCTCTATTGCCCTGTATGCAGTCCTGGGCGCAGCTGGCCCCAGAGCTGCTGGACAGAATTAGGGAAGTCGCGGAGCAAGGCTTGCGGCAAAGGGATGCTGCCACGGGGATTGACAAAGGCAGAAATGAAGACTTCCAGGGGGGCCTGTGCGAGGCAAAGTGGTTCATAAGGGCTGCCCATCTGATAAATTCCCACTGGTCACGTTGGGCGATACAGAGCACTGTTGAGTTGAAACCTGAGTTTGTGTCTTTGCGTGAGGTCGTCGATGCGATGAACAGTCGATTGGTGAGCGTGAAGCGCCTGAACCTGTCCCATTGTGCAGGAGTGGATGACGAGGCATTGAAGGCCCTCGGCAAGAATTCCGCTATCTGCCATGTGCAGTTGAGGGGATGCATCGGGTTCACCGAAAAGGGTTTGCAGGCTTTAATTGCCTCAGACTCATTGTCAGCACTTGATCTCAGTGGATGCAAAGGAATAAACGATGCAGCACTGGGTTTGCTGGCCAGCTGTAACAAGCTGCGGCATCTTCAGCTGTGCCATTGCCCTCAAGTCAGCGATGCAGGACTGGAGGCTCTGGGGACTCAGACAGGCCTGCAGAGTATTGCATTGGATTATTGTGAGGGAATCTCCCCTAAAGGGCTGAGTTTTCTGACAGGAATGGTATCATTGCGCAGCGTTGCACTCAACGGCAATCACCGCATTATTACGGATGTGGGTATGTTGTCTTTGGCACAGCTGAAAATGTTGCAGCACCTTGAGTTGGGCAGCAGTGGGCAAGCGGGTGGACGGATGACCGACGAGGGGTTGCGAGTGCTGTCCACTTTGACAGGACTCCGACATCTGATTATTTTGCACTGCCGTGCAATCACAGATACAGGCTTGAGCTCGCTGGCAAACCTCACAAGGCTTCAGCACTTGGATCTGTTTTCATGTTCCGGCATTACCGACAGGGGGATGCTATGGCTGGCAGATCTGACGGCATTGTGTTACCTGAACTTGGGGGAGCTCGGGGAGATCACTAACAAGGGTTTGGTGGCATTGAGTGGCCTAAAGTCACTTGAGTACCTGAATGTCAGTGCTTCAGATGTTACAGATGAAGGGATGAAGCTGGTCGCAGGTCTGACAGCACTTCGCCATTTGAACTGCTGCAAATGCCCTTTCATAACGGATGAAGGGGCTGCGTATACTGTCAGATCTGAAACATCTGCAGTACTTGGACATGCGTGAGTGTCAGGGGATCACCAACAACGGAACATTTCCGCTGGCAAACATGACTGGGCTGTTGCATTTAGACTGTGGCGCTTGTGATGGTCTCACCAAAGTTGGGTTTGAGTGGATTGTTGGCCTCAAAAATCTGCAGACTTTATGTATTAGTGTCTACAATCATATTACCATGGAGGGCATGAAGCGCTTAGGCGGCCTGATAACATTGAGGCGTCTTGAATTGTATGGCTTTCGGCAGATCTCATGCACAGGACTGAAGCAGTGGAAGGGCATGAAGTCGTTACACACGCTGTGGCTTCATGGGAAGAGTATCACAAATGAGTGTTTGCAGTTGCTCGCAGATCTGACCACTTTGCGCACTCTGTGCTTGGAGAGCTGCGACGAAATCACAGATGATGGACTGAAGGCCCTTTCCCATTTGGCAAGGCTGCGTTATTTGTCCTTACGCCGCTGTCACAAAATCACTGGCAGGGGTTTGAGCTGGTTGTCAGCTGCAACATCATTGCGCCACCTGAGCTTGGGCTGCTGGACAAGTGGGACAGACGCTGGGATGCAGACTCTGGCTGGCTTGACCACACTGCACCAGCTAACGTTGTCTGCTTGTAGGGGCATAACGGATGAAGGGCTGGGGTCTTTGACGAGTCTGATGCTGTTGCGACGCCTGTGTTTGAGGCACTGCCCAGGAGTCTCTGATGCTGGGAGGCATTCGCTGACAGCTTTGAAATTTCTAGACATTGTGACCTAGCTTGGATATGTGCTGTGATCGTTTGATTGAAGCTCCGTCGCAGAAAGTAGCGGTGCAAACAACTGGTTGAACCTCACTGCAGATTCTGATGGATGGATGGGTGAAAAGATGCACAAAGCATTTTTTGCTCGTCGGCGTCATTTTTTCTAATGTAACCACATGTCAAGAGGCCCGTGGCACTGCAGCATGTTCCGGGGAGTTCAGAGGGCTTTGTCGACTTTGGTTTGTGGGATGTGCTCAGGTGTTCCAGGTGCTCATGTAGTAATGTACGTTGGAGCAGCGCCCATGCATCAGCGTTTAGGCACTAATCCCAAGGCCGAAACACATTTAAGCCCAGGCAGTGCTGCAGCGTTATCACTAAATTCACTGCCCAGAGCACCAATGGCCTCCAATGGCCACAAATGGTATCAAAGTCTCAAGGTCAAGGCAACAGTCTAAATGCCTCAAACGCGACCGCAGAACTCTTGTAGTCTTTTCTTGATATATTCTCACATCACGACTGATTTTCCCAGAATTTTCCCAGCATTTCTGTGTGGCGTATCTCTCGTACTGCCCCCACACGTGTGTCTCATGCGGTAATTTCTCTGGGGACTCGAGGACGGGGCTGTGCAGCATCAATTCCCATACGCATTAGTAGGCGTGCCGTTCTTGCTTTTCAGCAGGGTTCGCCTCTTGTGCACACGCCAAGTTTTTGACGAAGGTGAGTGGAAGGTATAATGCACGGGAGCAGATATCCATTTTCGTTTGGGGCCACATCTGGCAGAGCGGCAGCATAATATTAACTGTGTGGTACCTGCCAGCATCATCCAGGGTCTGCGACGGCACGCCAGCGCAATTGAATTTTACTCTGCAAGGAAGGATGCAGAGCGCTTTAAAATTCCAAATTTGGAACTTTGACCTTTCGGCGAATTGTTGAAAACGGCATCATGCCAGAGCGCCGCCGTTGCATCGAAACCGCATTTTCTGTCGACGCATTTGTGGAACGATGACGTTGCAGCGCTGCAGACGTTGCATATAATGATCACTGTCCACGGGACAGTTTCACTGGAAATCCTGGCGATCTGTTACATTTGGACTGTGGCGTCCGTTGCAATCTTGCAAAGGTTGGGTTTGAGTGCATATATGGCCTCAAGAAACTTCATTCCTTACGCTTTGTTGTTGTTGATGACCATCACATTATTAAGGGGATGAAGCCACTGGTGGGTTGACGGCATTGCAGCGTCTTGAACTGTGCGGCTCGCAGGTCCTATTTATGGGACTGAAAGAACTGAAGGGCATGAAGTCATTGCACACGTTCTCTCTCTCAGTGGAGTATAAGAAGTGTTTGCAGTTGCTCGCGGAGCTGACGCCTTTGCATACCGTCCAGTTGGGGAACTGCCAGGCAGTCACAGACGAAGGACTGAAGGCCCTTTCCCATTTGACAAGTATGCCTCATTTGTTTCTGTATCGCTGCACCCGGATCACTTGCAGGGGGTTTTAGCAGTTGTCGGGCACAATGTCTCTGCGCTGCCTGAGCTTGAGCCACTGGTGTGGTGTCCAAAAGGCAGGGATGCAGGCTCTGGCCAGCTTGACAACACTACGCGAAGTGGCGTTATCTACTGCGCAGTAGATAAGCTGCTGGCACATCACTGATAAGGAGCTAAGGGCCTTGACGAGCTTGACGTTGTTGCGGCGCCTGCATTTGAACCACTGCTAGGGAAGATTTTCTGTTGGGAGGCAACCGTTGACGCCTTTGAAATTTCTGGAAATCTTTGTATCGTGACGCTGCTGTGCAGGAGAGAGTGCTGAGGGCGACGACACTGGACGCCTTTCATGGAACCAAGCAGCGCCAACAGCTAGTTGGAGCCTCGCTGCAGAATGTGATGTCGGTGGAAAGACGTACGGATCGGTGTTGCTCATCATTGCCGTTGTTCTTAATGTCGTCGCACACGAACAGGCTCATGGCACAGTGGTATGTTCTGGGAGAGAAAAAGGGGTTCGTCGACTGAGGTTTTGTGGGACTCGCACAAATGTTGTTGCTTGTGCAACAGCATCGGTAGCAACGAGCGTCGAAGCAACCCCCGCACAGCCGTTTTCAGGCAGCGTTGGTATTTAACCCAAGGCCAAGAACGCCCTTTGGTGCAAAATGTCGTTAGTGGATATTACATAAGTGTAGAAATGGTAATGTTGCGCAACATCAAAACATGTTTTTTCTTGATCTTGAACATGTCTATTGCATTATGGGTCGATTGCACATATTGAACACAATAGTTTCTATAATTTGCTTGGAAATCAAGATGTTGCATACTAATTGTGCTATTGGCTCACTAACGACATTTTGCACGAAAGGCTGTTCAAGGCCCATCCAAGCGCAGGAAGCTCTGAGACCTTATCTTCAAATGGTGAGCATTCGCTGGCCAATGCGCCTGCGGCCGTCGATGGCTCAAGCTCTAGAAAACAAGCCTGTCTCCCTTAGCTTGAGTCAGCAACTTTGAAAAGTGCGCAGTTGTCCTGCGTGAGGGACTCCCTACTGCCGGATGGGTTTACTGCGGCACTGCAGCGACAAGCTACTCGCAACATTGGTCACTGTCCTGGCGTTGTGCAGTGAGGCTTGAGTGTTGTGTCAAAAGCGATGAGTGGCTGCGCAGTGGATTTTATGTGACCGGGACATGGGAATGCCCTTCTAGCAGTACGTCTAGAAGTACATCAGATTAGCCACCTGACTGGAATTGACTTTACAAGATGAACAAGACAAACGGAAACAGTTCATGGGCCTCTGCACAGCGCAAAACCCGAAAAGCTCGGTTGCCCTCGCATCCATTCTCCACAGTCCAATTAACACCCTGGAATGGCGCGGCGCGCTGCTTTGAATTGTGGCAGCAATGGGATTTACTGGGTTACTAAGCCGGAGTGGAAACAAGCGGAGGGATGACGACGGTTTGGCCAGTGATGTTTGGGCCAGTGCCTCCAGACTGTGCCCAGCACCAACCTCCATTGTCAATTTCTGAAGGTTGCAACGGACCGCCGCACAGGTACCATCCCAATAGACGAGATGCTTCAGGTCTGACAAGAGTGCCAAGCAGTGCACATTAATTAGCGCGCATTAGATGACACTCTCGCCAGACACCTTGCACAGTGTAGAAAACTTCTGGGTGCGTCTTCATGCTAGAGTTGTATCTTCATTTCTACCTGTGAAAGATGCAGCCGACAACGCACGTCAGGGTACAGCTTCGTCCCCAAGTTGGCGGCACTGGGCGGGCAGCGACCCCAAGCAGCGGAGTTGCAGCGAAAATACCATTTGGCTGAAAGTAGTGAAAGCTAGGCACTATGCCTTTTGGATTCCTGACATAAGGAATTTGTATCCTAATGCGGTTTTGACTTTCTGGGCCCATTAACGAGAATGCGATGTCGGCCTATTTTTCTCAGGTCTTCATATATGTAATACATTCCTCTGTTCGATTCAGTTGACCAGAATCTAAATAATATGCCTACAAAATTCAAATAAATATAGGAAAAGAGCATGACGGCAATATTGCATATTAATATCGCTTGCCTGCAGAAATGCAAGGACATGAGCTGCTCTTGCTTCGAAGGATATGTACCAGCCTTCGTGACGGGCCGGAGTAGCTTTAACGATGCGAAATCTGTGTATGCACAAATCCAAAAGCGAGTGAAGCCTGCCCACTCAATTAGAGCCCCCCTGCAAGCGTATGGGATTGCGCTAATCCGCATCAAAATATGCTTTGTTTACCAATGCACTTCAAAGTACTGACTTGCAGAGTTTCAGCTTCGCCAGGCGCGACCCTGACAGCAGTTTCAAACTTGGTCACGGACATGAAACTATATTTGTAAACTGGCATGCACAGCATTTCGCTTCTGCTAAAGATCTTTGGTACACGCGCTTGGAAGGTATTTACATTCCCCTCGCCTGCACTTTATTCTCATTTGGTATTTCAGAATGGCAGCAGATATTTTGCGGCATATCCAGCCGAACGCCACTGCAGTGGTGATTTTTGTGGTAACCACGAGCGTTGTCCAGCGGACGTCTCTTTTTGACTTTGGTGCAATCCTGCGTTGCGAGTCAGAAGACATAGTACTTTGAAATGTGGCCCTCTCTACCGCATTGTTTCAAACGGCGTCGTGCCGGAGCGCCGCCGTCGTGTCGAGACGGCATTCATAGCTGGCACGTTCGAAAAACTACGGCGTTGCTGTGCGTGATGTTTGCAGTTTAGGGGCGATTCGGGGGTTAATTTATAAGAGACATTCTTATATACAAGAA